AACTTTAGCCTCTAGAGCGTCCACAAGCAATTGTGGACGCCGGACGGACGGACGGACGGATGGACCGACGGACCGACGACAATATACGACCACATTTCAATGTGGGCGTATAAAAATCGTTTTTCGACACCCCCCCCCCTCTCTCTCTCTCTCTCTCTCTCTCTCTTTTATTTTATATATCTCAGAAATAGTGAATTTCATCGCACTGTACTACATGTAGTACATATACTAGAACCCCCAATCGGCCTCGCAATGCAGTCAGCCTTTTCTTTTGTTTAAAAGATTTGGGGGATATTTTTTCAATTGATTTTGATAAAATAATCATATTTATTTCGAACGTTTTACGTATATTAAGGACATTATACTACATGTATATATCCCAGACACGGAAATACATCACCCAATATCGCGTATCGAGCCTAATCGGCCTCGCTATGCATGAAGTATACAATCGGCCTCGCTTCGTAATAGTAGCGAGACTTTTTCTTAATTTTGAAAGATTATAAAGTATTTCTATGAATTAATTTACATTAAAAAATAATATTTTGTAAATTAAATGATATTTCAGTAAGTGATTCACATATTTTTTAGAATATTAGACAGTATATTCCAGAAATAGGGAAATTCATCGACTACTTATACTACTCCGAGTAGGAAAGGTTAACACTCTTCCGTGGCCAATACAAAGTGACAGGCGTCATAGCCACTAGTCCCGAATGATTGACATCTGTCAGCCTTCACCTTCGAAATATCAAGGGAAATAATTTGAACAACTGGGGGCAGAGCACATTGACTACTACATAAATGTTAAAACCCGTTTACCTGCTATTCCAGGCCAGGAGTTTAAAGTAGAAAAATAGACTAATATAGCCTTATTTATATCGCTAACTTTGACAATCTGTCACCCATAACGCCATTAATCCCGCCCCCAATATACACAAAAAAGTGACGAAAGAAATAAATATTCTATACCCCCCCCCCACCCACAAAATCCGTATTTATATCGTAATACGGATCTCACAGCAGCAGGATTTTTTTTAAAATTTCGATTGGCCCCAAGACACGATTTTGTATTTAGATTCGTGTCACAGCAGGAATTTCTTCATTGGTCCCAACAACAGGATTTTTTTTAGGTTATCCCTCACGGCAGGGATTTTGCTCAGATTATCTCCAGCGGGATTTTTCTGTACTGATTTATAGATTGGCCCTCACAGCAGGATGTTCTATAGGTTGGTCCCAACAGTAATATTTTCTATCGATTACTATCACAGCATATTTATTACTATTACAGCATATTTATTAATATAACAGCATATTTTTTACTATTATTTATTACTTTTACAGCATATTTATTACTATTATGTATTACTTTTACAGCATATTTATAGTGCACCCTTTCATATATCGTGTTCAGGGACACTTTACAAACTGGCAATGTAACCATATATAAAAAAAAACAAAACAAAATAAACCAACAAGCAAAATTATGGACATAATTATCAATCGCATACTGTGTCAGTTAAATCCTGTTTAAATAAACGTGTTAAGTTGTTTTTTTAAAAGAATATACAGATGTACACTATTCTATACTAAATGGAAGATTATTTCATAAAACAGACAGTTAAAAACTAAAAGAGTCCCCGCGATAAGAGACAAATAAAACAGGGTTGGCCTTGAAAAGTAGATTATCTTAAGCCCTATGTAGGCTATGAATGTTCGGCGCATCAGAATTTTTCGTCAGAATAGCCACTACACCAGACTAATTTTTTTGTCAGAATAGCTATCGCAGCAGAATTTTCTATAGAATGGTCCCAGCAATTGGAATTGTGATTAGATTATTCAGCAGAGCAGGAATTGTCGTTAGATTATCCACCACAGCAAAAAAAAAAAAAAAATCATCACAATAGCCATTACACCAGAATTTTCTTCACAATAGCCATTACACCAGAATTTTCTTCACAATAGCCATTACACCAGAATGGCTTTTCAGCTTGGTTCTCACAGTAGGATTTTCTATAGATTGGTTCCAACAGCACCATTTTTCTTTAGAATATCCATTATATCAGGAATTTCGTGACATTGTCCATCGCAGTAGAAATATTCGGCAGAATAGCCACTACACCAGACTAATTTTTTTGTCAGAATAGCTATCGCAGCAGAATTTTCTATAGAATGGTCCCAGCTATTGGAATTGTGATTAGATTATTCAGCAGAGCAGGAATTGTCGTTAGATTATCCACCACAGCAAAAAAAAATAAAAAATCATCACAATAGCCATTACACCAGAATTTTCCTCACAATAGCCATTACACCAGAATTTTCTTAACAATACCCATTACACCAGAATGGCTTTTCAGCTTGGTTCTCACAGTAGGATTTTTTTATAGATTGGTTCCAACAGCACCATTTTTCATTAGAATATCCATTATATCAGGAATTTCGTGAGATTATCCATCACAGTAGAAATATTCGGCAGAATAGCCACTACACCAGACTAATTTTTTTGTCAGAATAGCTATCACAGCAGAATTTTCTATAAAATGGTCCCAGCAATTGGAATTGTGATTAGATTATTCAGCAGAGCAGGAATTGTCGTTAGATTATCCACCACAGCAAAAAAAAAAAAAAAAAAAAAATCATCAAAATAGCCATTACACCAGAATTTTCCTCACAATAGCCATTACACCAGAATTTTCTTAACAATACCCATTACACCAGAATGGCTTTTCAGCTTGGTTCTCACAGTAAGATTTTTTTTATAGATTGGTTCCAACAGCACCATTTTTCATTAGAATATCCATTATATCAGGAATTTCGTGAGATTATCCATCACAGTAGAAATATTCGGCAGAATAGCCACTACACCAGACTAATTTTTTTGTCAGAATAACTATCGCAGCAGAATTTTCTATAGAATGGTCCCAGCTATTGGAATTGTGATTAGATTATTCAGCAGAGCAGGAATTGTCGTTAGATTATCCACCACAGCAAAAAAAAAAAAAAAAAAATCATCACAATAGCCATTACACCAGAATTTTCCTCACAATAGCCATTACACCAGAATTTTCTTAACAATACCCATTACACCAGAATGGCTTTTCAGCTTGGTTCTCACAGTAGGATTTTCTATAGATTGGTTCCAACAGGACCATTTTTCTTTAGAATATCCATTATATCAGGAATTTCGTGACATTGTCAATCACAGTAGAAATATTCGGCAGAATAGCCACTACACCAGACTAATTTTTTTGTCAGAATAGCTATCGCAGCAGAATTTTCTATAGAATGGTCCCAGCAATTGGAATTGTGATTATATTATTCAGCAGAGCGGGAATTGTCGTTAGATTATCCACCACAGCAAAAAAAAAAAAAAAAAAAAAAAATCATCACAATAGCCATTGCACCAGAATTTTCCTCACAATAGCCATTACACCAGAATTTTCTTAACAATAGCCATTACACCAGAATGGCTTTTCAGCTTGGTTCTCACAATAGGATTTTCTATAGATTGGTTCCAACAGCACCATTTTTCTTTAGAATATCCATTATATCAGGAATTTCGTGCCATTGTCCATCACAGTAGAAATATTCGGCAGAATAGCCACTACACCAGACTAATTTTTTTGTCAGAATAGCTATCGCAGCAGAATTTTCTATAGAATGGTCCCAGCTATTGGAATTGTGATTAGATTATTCAGGAGAGCAGGAATTGTCGTTAGATTATCCAACACAGCAAAAAAAAAAAAAAAAAAAAAAAAATCATCACAATAGCCATTACACCAGAATTTTCCTCACAATAGCCATTACACCAGAATTTTCTTAACAATAGCCATTACACCAGAATGGCTTTTCAGCTTGGTTCTCACAGTAGGATTTTCTATAGATTGGTTATAACAGCACCATTTTTCTTTAAAATATCCATTATATCAGGAATTTCGTGACATTATCCATCACAGTAGAAATATTCGGTAAAATAGCCACTACACCAGACTAATTTTTTTGTCAAAATAGCTATCGCATTAATTTCTTGTAAACAAAAATCACATACACGAGTTATCCCCCTTCAGGCGAGTGAGCGTAAAACTCCGATTTGGACACAAAGCAGCGATGCTTCATAAATTCAACTAAATTGTAATTTTGTGTTTCTAAAGTCAACATTTTGTAGTTATTGGTTGTTATTTTGGAGTTATTGGGTGTTATTGGGTCGTTATTGGGTGTTATTGGGCAGTTATTGGGTGTTATTGGGTAATTCGACACGCCCGTTCCAACAGCACCATTTTTGTTTAGAATATCCATTATATATCAGGAATTTCGTGAGATTATCCATCACAGTAGAAATATTCGGCAGAATAGCCACTACACCAGACTAATTTTTTTGTCAGAATAGCTATCGCAGCAGAATTTTCTATAGATTATTCAGCAGAGCAGGAATTGTCGTTCTGCTTAAGGAATTAAACATTTTTGTTGGCAGGTCCGTCGCCATAGCTGGCAGTTCCGTCGCCATATTTCTCTGCTCTGAATAATGTCCAGAAAGCGACCTTCACCGATCATGTCAAGGCGTGGTTAGGCTTTTTAATTCCCGCCTACAAATACGTTAAAATGTCTGGTCATTTAGCTATTGGTAGCTCCACCCCTTTTTGTGTTTTTACTAGGTGCGATATAGCATCAACCAGTAGGAACAGGTCAGGGCGAGTACATTTTGTCGCTATTGAATTTTCGTACCGCTAGTACCTCCCGTGGTCGTAGAGACTTGAAATTTTCAGGATGTGTTAAGAGCTACTATTGATGATCAAACACTAGGACCACGGAAACCACTAGTGACTAGGTGTACCCAAGTGTAGTAGCACTTGAGATTTCTTTTATTATTAACAATAAATAGTCCTTTCTAAACTCAGCCTTCAAATAAAATGGGAGGGACTTAAACAAGAAAGAGGCGGGGCTTACAGCTGAGGCACAATCGTAAAAATCGGTCTCGCTTAGTAGGGTATATATTTCTCTCTCTAAAATCGTCACTTCCTTAGGCCAGATTATCCAAGCAGATGTAGTCTCCATTCTCTCCCTCTCTCTCTCTTTGTTGATGTCTGGGTATGCGAGACTAATTATTATTTCGCCGAAGGTTGAACTGTGCAAGAACTGGTGTTAGAATGGGAGATCGAGGTATTTATTTGACAAATTTCCATATCTCTAGTAGTGATTGTCACATCTGTCCCGCTCAGGCATTTTTGTTCTTTGCTGGTTTTCTAATTGGCTACCAAATGACATGCAGGAGGAATGTATAGCTTGTAGTAGTTGAGGCCTACTCCTAGCCCCCATGTAAGGTATGGTCGACTCAGCGTTCTTCAGGTCGAGGTCGTGTCATTAAAATATCAAGGATATATATATATTCTAGTCTCACTCTTGGCCTCTCTCTAGGAGATCCGACCAATTTTACCCAATAAATGCAAAATATTTTGAAGGGGGGGGGATAGGTTTGATTTCCTCAACCACCCCCCTGAGATATCAGCTTACCATAGGCCCTACTACATTTCCTGTGGCACGGCTCCAGACCGCAATTATCAACCGATTGCAATTAAACTTACAGATCATGATAACATTATCAATAATGATATCTCAGAGCACGCAAAGTTTTGGCCACTTCCAGTGAACGGTTTTGCAGATATCAGTTTACCATACATTTCATGTGGCATGACTAGAAATGGTTCCACTATGGCAATACTATTACTATATACCGGAAAACACCAAAAAACACCGGAAAACTACCGGAAAAAACATCATGTTATACTGAATACCGGAAAAACACTAAATACCGGAAAACACCCTAAATAAAAATACCGGAAAACACCCTAAATAGGTAACCTGGAGCCTTGTCCTCTGTGTGCGGGGGTTAGGGTCAAGGTTAATTAGGTTTTTCCGGTGTTTTTTTAGAGGACCAGGCTCCGGGTTACCTATGTAGGGTGTTTTCCGGTATTTAGTGTTTTTCCAATGTTTTCCGGTATTCAGTATAACATGGTGTTTTCCGGTTATTTTGCACTGTTTTCCGGTATATATATATAGTATTACCCGTTCAACTATTGATGTCTTCTGTCTTGCTCCAGCCACAGTAGTGGACCGTCCCAAGGCCTTCCTTTGAGAAAGTTTTGTAGTCAGTTGACTAAAAAAAGTTACTGATGAAAACAGGTGTAAATTTAATCTATTTACAACCCATTCAGCGTCTTCATATTTTAAAATATTTCTTAGTAACTTTCATCAACTCGTAGAAATAATCCATGCGAAGAGAATGTATGTGAAAATTAGTTTGTGATATTATTATTATTATTATTATTGTTCGATTTATATAGCGCTTCATTACACATGAGTGTTTCTAAGCGCATTCACAACAAAACAGTTCAAAAACATTTTTGAAATAAGTAGGTTTTTAAGTTAGTCTTAAAGCTCTGGATGGAAGAGGACTCTCTAAGAGTTTTTGGAAGATCATTCCACATTTTTGCTGCTTTGACGGAGAAAGCATATTCACCAGAACGCTTATTATATTTGGGGATCCTCAATATGCTACGATCACTTGAAGAACGAAGGTTGGATCGCTGGGGAGTATAGAAATCAAAGAGTTCTTTTAAATAACTGGGTGCGGTGTCAGAATAAATTGATTTAAACACATTCACAAGAGCTTTAAATTGAACCCTCGCTCGAACTGTTGCTGAGAAATAGGCAATTTTGCATGCATCATTTTTCACGTTTTTTTTTTTTACCATTTGATGCCTTCCTTTTATGCCAATTTTGACTAGGTCAAACCAATTTAACATTTTCACTGTCACTGGAAATGACATCATTTGGGCAAAAACTGTATTTTTAGCCTTAAAGTGATATTTTATTCAAATGATTCTTATTTGTAATGTTTTTCAAATTATGATATTTGATTCAAATCAATAAATAGAATAAACCCATACAGTCATACAGATATCTCAAAATGGTTTCTAACTTGTGCAGTTGCAATGAAATAGACGATTTTCTACATGTCACTTTTCATGGTTTTTGGTCCATAAAAGTGTCAATTATTATCCGATTTTCATAAAACTTTCACCGTGTGATGTCTTATGCCATTTATGATTTCATATAACTAATTTAACATATTCATTATCACCGGAAGTAATGTCATTTTGGCAAAAAATGAATTTTAGCCCTTAATTAAATTGAAGTGTGTTATATTTATTATTTGTTTAACATTATGATATTTGATTCCAATGGACATATAAATTGGATCAATACGATGATAGAGATGTCAAAAAATGGCTTCTAGCATCTTCCCTTGTCAAGAAATAACCAATTTTCTCAGGATCAGTTTTGAAGATTTTTTATCTTTTTTAATTTCGGTTTATGGATTCTAGGTTAATTATTTATTCAATTTTATTGTCTGATAGGTAGAAAACAAATTTCATATGTTTCGTGATGCAGATTCTCAACTTTTTAGTTACCTATAAAGATTTCTGTCGACAGCGGAAGTGACATAATTTTGCCAGAATTTACAATTTTGACCTGTCTTTTCGGAAGCAAATATTAATTTTTACAAATCTGAGAGATCAAGAAGAATGACCCTATGACAAGCGCAAAAAATGTTAAACTAAATTTTGTTAGTTTGAGTTCTATGTTTGCACCATTTCGATTTAAAGGTGAAAAAGGGGATAAATTTAAGCAATTTACAACCCAATTTTGAATAGGTCAAATCATTTTAAGTTTACACTGTCATCGGAAGTGACGTCATTTGAGCAAAAACTGTATTTTTAGCCTTCAAAACAAATATTTTATTCAAATGAGTCTGATTTGTAATGTTTTATAAAATTATGATATTTGATTCCTATCTGCAAATAGAATGAACCCATACGATCATACAGATACCACAAAATGGTTTCTAACTTCTACGGTTGCAGAGAAATAGATGATTTTCTACAAATCACTTTTCAAGGTTCTTGGTCTATAAAAGTGGCAATTATTATTTGATTTTCCTAAACTTTTCACCATGTGATGCCTTATGCTTTTTATGATTTCATGGAATTAATTCAACATTTTCATTATCACTGGAAGTAATGTCATTTTGGCAAAAACTGTATTTTTAGCCTTCAAAACAAACTTTTTTTTTCTTTTTTTGAAGTGAATTACATTTATTATTCTTTTAACATTATGATATTTGACTCCAATTGAATCAATACAATCATATAGATGTCCAAAAATTGCTTCTAGCATCTTCCCTTTTGTCAGGAACACTTTTTAAGATTTATTTTCGCCTTTTAATTTCTCATTTTATAACACGCCTGCAATGTTTATGTTGAAATCTGTTCCATTGTAGTAGTAGTATCCTGGTGTTTAACGTCTGCTTCCACATAAGTGATATCGCAGACAAGAAATAGGAGAGCCGAAGCTGCTTCCTGTTTTTAGAATATGATTTTGCAATCTTTCCATTTTCGGCCTTAGGCCATGGATTGGGTTTTGTGGGAAGTTCTTCCCTTTATTTAGTAAAAAAAACATATCGTTTGGTAGATGTTTTCTTCTGCTTCTGGATTGGTAGATGTCTTCGTTGTGGGATTAGTGTTTAGGTGCCAGACCCGTCTTATACGGTGACCTCCCCTTACTCCACAATCCCACTCTATGGGTTTGGTATCTGTTTCTTTTGCGGAATAGTGTTTAGGTCCCGAGTCTGTCTGACCGTAACTCCCCTTACTCCACTATCCTGCTAGTTAGGTAGATGTCATCTTTGTGGGATTTATGTTTAGGTGCCAGGCCCGTCTTATTGTGACCTCCCCTTACTCCACAATCCCACTCTATGGGTTTGGTATCTGTTTCTTTTGCGGAATAGTGTTTAGGTCCCGAGTCTGTCTGACCGTAACTCCCCTTACTCCACTATCCTGCTAGTTAGGTAGATGTCATCTTTGTGGGATTTATGTTTAGGTGCCAGGCCCGTCTTATTGTGACCTCCCCTTACTCCCCTATCCCACTCTGTAGGTTTGATGTCTATTTTTTGCCGGAATAGTGTTTAGATGCCGAGTCCGTCTGATCGTGACTCTCCCTTACTCCACTATCCTGCCAGTTTGGTATAAATCCCCTATGTAGTTTAGTGTTTAGATGCCGAGCCCGTCTAACCGTGGCCCCCTCTTACTTCACTATTCTACTTAGTCCAACTGTGTCCATTAGGGCGTGGATTTGTTCGAAGATTTGCAGTTTCAGATCTGGTCTCGGAAAGAGTAAGTTCTTAGTGTTGAATGGTATGTTGTTAGTCTCCATCATTCTCACTAGTTCCATTCTCTCCTCCTTGTATACCTGGCAGTCTACCAGGACATGGTCATGGTACATTCTTACCGCATTCACAGACGATGACTTGAAGTTTGTAGTCTCGCAGCCGCTCTTTCACCCTTAGTTTCGATATAAGTCTGCATATATCTCTTCTAGTGTGATTGATCGCTGTCTTCGTGTAGATTATGTCATCCAGTCGGAATCTGTATGTGTCAAGTTCATCGAGTTTTAATTCCCAGAATGAATTGACCTGTCTTTTAACCATACTGTAGATTTCCGTGGTGCTGTAGTCTATGGTGTGGAGTGGTGCTGTGTCCTTGAGACCTTCGTTGGCGAGTCGAAATGAAATGAAATGAAATGAAATGGGGTTTAACGTCCTACTGTTCTGCTCCTAACATGGGCTAATGAAGACGGGCATACGCCATACAGTGTGCTATGAGGGAAATTTTGCCCGGACAGCGGCACTACGGCCTACTCTTATATCGAATTCCAACTGCCAAGGGATCTTTTACGTGCACGCCAATGTGTACACGGGACCTCGGTTTTTCGTCCCATCCGAACGACTAGACAGCTTTCCTTGTCAGCCCCTCCGTCCTGCATCACTGACAAGGGAGAACCACGCCGGAAAATCTGGATGAACTTTCTCGGCCAATGCAGGGATCGAACACCCGACCTCCAGGCTAGCGAGCTAGCGTCTTACCCACTTAGCCACGTGATCCCCCGTTGGCGAGTCGATCTGCCTCCTCTAATGTTGATATGTGATGGAATCCACATGAGCTCTAATTTGCTTCCCTTCTCTAGGACCCTCTGGTACAGCTGCCTGATTTCCAAAATGACTTCTGGTCTTGAGTCTGAGTTGTCATTTTGGATTGAAATCA